TGCTGGCTGTGGAATTCTGGGAGTTGAAGTCCACATGCCTTAAAATTGTCAAGGTTGAGAAACACTGGCTAAGCGTTTCCCGAGGCGATGAAAGTCAACCCCCAGAGCCCCGCCCCCAGCCTCCCAGGTAGACCACGAGGCCAGCCCTTGAAAAGCTCCTCCCCTCTCCTCCCCTCCCCTCCCCTCCCTCCGCTGCCTGCACTGCAGTTCGCCCAAACTCGCCTCCAGCCTTTGGGCGCTTTCCACCACCCAGAGGCTGCTCCGAATCGCGCCTGGCCAAACCTCTCGTCGATCCAGCCCCGAGGCATCCTGGGAGGTTAGATCCCTGCCACGCCACGCCGAGCCTCCTGTCTCCGTCTCCCCCGCCCTCGAGGGCGAGAGAACTACAACTCCCAAAATGCACCACTAGGCCACACTTCAGAGGAGGGGTCCAGGCACGGCCCTACCTCCTGGGCCCCAGCCCCCTCCTCGTTCCCCCCAAGTGTTTGATTAGGGGGAATAAGGAGGTCGTGGTGCCGCCTCAAAAACCCCCAGTCTCCGGGGCCGGCCAGCCCGTCCCTCGGCGCTCACCTGGTCCTTGCCGCAACCGTTGGTGAGGGTGGTGCATCCTCCACCAGCTGCCCTCAGTCAGTGCGGCACCGGCGCGTGGCTCCCTGCCCTGCCTGGGACTGTCTGGGAAGCTGCCTCCTCTTGTGGGGGCCGCCCCGGGAGCATCCTCCCCCCTCCCGCACCGGCCTCGGGATGGGTCCGCGGCGGCAGAAGGGAGGAGGAGGAGGAGGAGGCTCTGCTAGCGGGGATTCGCCCACAATGCACTACGCGCAGAAGCAGCAGCGGGCGCCGCCGTGCCTGACATCAGCTCCAGCCTCCGCAGCGTCGCCCCGCCCTACCTTGCCGGCTTCCTTCGGGATCTCCGGTGGCTTCCACGCGCCACAACGGAGCTGCTTGTCAAAGCTGCGCGCGCCGTTACACGAAGTGCCTTATGCGTGCACCGAGATGAACCTTCCTTCAAACATTCCGGAGCCTTCTGCGTGCATTTTAAGATAACGGGGGCTAGTATGTCTGGACTGCAAAACTCCATTGTCTGTACTTATTTGCTCTTGTCTGGGATGTTTTTTATTATTATTATTATTATTATTATTATTATTATTATTATTATTATATAATAATAATAATAATAATAATATTTAATTTCTATACCGCCCTTCTCCCGCAGGACTCAGGGCGGTGCACAGCATATTAAAACAGATACACATATCAATAAAAATAAAAACCCCTCTAAAACCAAATTAAAACCAAATATTCGAAGCTGTGTTCCAATTAAAATTATACTTAAAATCGTCCCTAAATAAAATCCTCCTGATTACCTTCTGATAAGTGGAAAATCCTGATCGCTCCAATACTTCACTCACTCCTAGGTCTTTTGCTGGTGAGCTGACTTATGGAACAAAAGTTTCTTTCAACCTATTTCCTTATTTTATCCATGAAGTATTTTCATGACTCGTTCAGCATTATTAAATGCACTTTAAAATAAAGCACATAAATATATTCATTAATTTTATTTTTAACTAGCTGTACCCGGCCACGCGTTGCTGTGGCTCAGTCTGGTTAAGTGGAAAAGAAAGAAAAGAGAAAGCGCACGTTTGTGTCACAGGTGTGACATCTATATAATAGTAGGTATATAAAAACACGCGCGTATTCGAATGCAACGTTGTGTCAAAATTTCAAAGCAATCGGTGAAGAACTTTCGGAGATTTAAGATTTTGAACAAACGAACATTTACATTTTTATTTACATAGATTATGGGAATTATAATGTGTCCCTCTGTATTTGTGCAGGTAGTCTTTGACTTACCATCACAATTTAGTCCCAAATTTCTGTTGCTAAGCAGGGCAGTTCTTAAATGAATTTTGCTCCATTTTACAACCTTTCTTTGCCATAGTTAAGTAAATCAGTGCAGTTGTTAAGTGAGTCATGTGGTCAGTAAGCAGATCTGGCTTCCCCCATTGACTTTGCTTATCAAAAGCTGGCTGGAACATTACAAATGGTGATCACGTCATCCTAAGACAATGCAACAGTCATAAATACATACCAGTTGCCAAGCATCCTAATTTTGATCACGTGACCATGTGGATGCTGCAATGATCATAAGTGTGAAAAATGATCATTAAATCCTTTTTTTCAATGCTGTTATAATTTTGAATGGTCACTACACAAATAGTTGTAAACTGAGGATTATCTGTAGTGAATTAGAGGATTTTTTTCTCTACATTGAAATTCGGTAACAAGACAATGAAATATGCAAAAAATTAAAAAGCAATAAAAAAAACCCCAAAGCCTCTATGCCAATGGACATTATAGATGCTTATGAAATAGAGATCCAAAGAAGGATAGACATTAAAAGCTATGACAAATGGATGCTCAACTTTAGAGATAAAATATCAACACAACAACAAAAAGAATGTGGACTAAATCTGTAAAATTTACATAAAATTATAACTCAAAATTTGTACAAAATGTTCTATAGATGGTATTCAACTCCATCATTAAAATCTAAGACACACAAATATACAGTAATGAACGCTTACAGAAAATAAAGCACTTTAAAGATTAAAAAATCCACAGCTAAAAGAAGAAAGACGTTAATTCTCTTTTCTGCCTGCAAGGCATGGAGATTATTGCAGAAATCATTTCTCCTCAGGTCACCTGCCTTTTGTATTCCCAGGGAAGCCTTGTGAAACTTGTTTGTCCGACCTGGCACATTTGACTACATTAACAGATCAACATTCTGCAGCATCACCATTAACTTGTATGAAGTCATCTAACTTTTCATGTTTTTTAATCTTGTATGTCAGTCAATTTGATTCAGTCATCGACTAGACAAATGCAAGGTTTGGGGAGAGTGGACATATGGGCATCTCTTAAGTCCACTGTTGATTATAAAAATTGATATATTACTGCAAAACAGGTGTTTTTTCCCCAAGAGGTCAAAGTCTATTGTTTTCCCTGTAATGGGTGATATTTGCTTTCCCCTCACAATTAATAAAACACATTTATGGTATCATTGCATTCTTCAAGACTAGGCTCCCAATAAAAGGTTGTTGCTATGGTTCTGACTAATGCAACCAAGTGAGGCTTGAAATTTCCTCAAAGCACATGTTTATTGGATACATATTATCCGCTTGGTTAAAAGTGAAACCAACTCTAGAGTTTTCCCCAGATTCAAAATAACTAAAAGTAACAATCCCCTCCCCTCTGCGGTGCTATAGATCATGCTACCCAGTTAAAGTAGTTAGTGGAATTCTCCATTTGTCTTCACTCCTCCTTCCCACATCTGCAAGAATGACCTTGGTTCCCACAACACCTTGTTCGGAGTTTTGTCTGCAGTTTTCCCCTCTCCCAATTTGTGGCAACTCAGAACGACAAAGATGGCTTGAGCCAGGCTTGGTTCAGAAATTGAGTTTTTTTCACAAATGCATTCTTGATATCATTACTAGTACATTTCACATGTCATTCAACGTAGCTTTGTTAGCTTTGCCATACATCTCAAACACCACTGTTCATATGATGCTGATATCTTCTTCCAGTTACTGGTCTACCCAGCAAATAGTTTCACATCTGCATGCCTCCAAGCTCCACGCCACAGACCCCAAACCAATGGTATTTAAATTCAAGATCTTTTCTTAGTAGGTATGTGTTACCTTTCTCTTTACAGATTGTCAAATTAGGGTATTCTTGAACCATCTTTTTTTTTTTGACTAAGGATAATTTATGGACATTTTTCTAGACTGTATTTTTGGTTTTCATCAGAACAATGGTATTCAACCAAGCAATTAAGGGGCTGAGTTCATACATTGTACTTGTTTTAGAGCAGTATGTGAACCCATGCATTGTGGCTTGTAAATATGGTTTATACTTTTGTAAGGTGTGTAAAACCTTAAGCATGTCTTAGTCAACCATCATTTAACAAACTATGGCTCAGCATGTGTAAATCTAACCAATGATACTCAATGTTGGTTGATGGAAATGTATTATCTGATTTGTTAATTCAAAACAAATGTTTGTGCCCTGCTCCAAATATCCTATATATCCACTTTTGGAAGAGGGGAGGTAACAAGAGCAGCTTTACAATGTCTAATTTTTTTAATGTACACAAGCTATATATATATTTCTCTAAAGTATGTCAAAAACATGTTTTACCTATCACTCATGCCTTCTCTCCTTAAGAGCTGACAAGTGATATACAGATATAGAGTAAATAATAGTAATGTGTACATTTGTTGGTGCAGTGAATTTAAGCTATGGTATACATAAAAGCAGATAATAGAGATGTTGCATGACAACTATCTCAAATTAAAAAGAAATTTAAAATTCAATACCCACAACTAAAATATGTATTCATAGGTTTTCATAACTGATAAGGCATCCACTATTGCACAATTGTTTCCACTTTGGAAACATGCTATTTTTCTTTTTTTCTTAAAAACTGCTTTTGTGTAGATAGTTCAGACAAGAAGCATGACAATGAATTCTAGCTCTATCTTTATTATAAAATATCTGTTAACTGTACATTAACAGATTCTTGCGAGTCGGAAAGTATTTCTCCCTTTTCGTTTATTGTTAAGAAAATTAGGAAGGATCCCTTCTAAAACACGTCCCACATTCCCTCTGCTTCAATGGACTTTTGCATGATAGTTGTCTAGTCTGTGGCTCTTCCTCCTATCTCACAGGTCATTCCTACATCCCATTACATCCCACATTTGCTCTAATCTAGAGTAAAAGATGGATATTGTGACATTGCAAATACAAATTCTCCTCCTCTCGGTAAACTATGAAGTATTAGAAATCTGCTGAGCTGGAGAAACTGAGAAAATGGTATCATAGCAAATGTTTAACTAGACACTTTCAAGATAATGGGGCTTCTCCCAACAACAACCTTCCCATTCCCATTTTTGGCACTAAGAAAGGATAACAAAGCAGAATCAAAGAAAAGCATATAAGAATGCAACAGAAGAAAACCAGTTTATTTCATAAACAGAAGTTGTATAGTTTCTGGGTTCTTTTTCATTTTCAAGAAAAGAGAAAGCAGAATACTCTGAACAATTTTAGCTCCTGCATACACATACACACATATATGTATGCATACATATGTTTATATTGTATATATGAACCTTCTGAACTTCTATATCCTGTGGAATTCCCACCTGTAGAATGCATTCCAAATGACAAAAGAACATTAAAGAAAAAAATCTCTTCATGAAAGAGTTCCGTACAAAATACAAAACCATTTCAGTTCAGAACATAAGCAACCTACAGATTTATCCAAAAGAGCCATAGGGCATTTTAACTGAATTTGGGAGTTGTTTTAATTTTTTTAAAAAAAACCAGCTTTACCAACATTCATAAGAAAGCATTATATGCAAGCGTGAAAACACACGCATGCACACAAGCACACACAATTCTTGCCCAAACGAGATGTAATTCAAGTGATTCACACACAATCAATGTCCTAAGTTGCCTTTTCATTAATTAGAGAATATCATTGTCCCTGGCACTGAATCTTATAGAATAATTTATATTGAAATGAAATAAAAATCTCCATTCATTGTTTTGGAGCTGTGTTAGAATGGAAATGAGAATTGTTCTGACAGACAAGAAGCCCCTTAGAGACTTTGCATATTTATGTACATTTGTGTACACACACACACACACACACACACACATTCATGTTTCCATGTATTTACCGTATGAATCACTACTGGAGAACAAAACTGAACTGGCACTCATAAATAAGGCTGTATTGCTATTACGTTCTAGAACTTTAACTCAATGCTGGGCAAAATAATAAAGTCAAATATATTTATCAAATAAAACCTCTGCATAAGTATTAGCCAATGGGCAATAAAATACAGGGAATATGGAAAAGGGTGATGTGCAAACTTTCACATAAACTGATGATATATAGTGCTCTCTTAAAATTGAAGCCTGCATTGGAGTTGAGGCAAAGGTCTTTTTTCTAGACTGGAGCCTAGTCTTATTCCCTAAGAAAGTTTGCAGTCCTGCAGCCTCACTGCTCCCCAGTTTTTTCATTTGTTTATTTGGCTAATGAACTTCATATGTAATCAGGCACTGTGAATTTTCCAATAGCCACAAGGATATATCTCAAAGAGAAGGTGCCCTTCATTGTAAATGATCATTATAATTGACTCCCAATTAACTGAAATCCTCTCCCTGCCATTTGTGACAATGATAGTAGCAGAATTAGCAGGGACAAGGTTGCCTGAAGCTTCCTCTTCTTCAGAATTTGGGAGTCCAAAGGTGAACCCTAATCAAATGGTTCATCTTCATCATCAAAAAAAAAGCAATCTCTCTCTAGATTTTCTGATTCATCATCATAGGAAATATCATCATCATCATCAAGGTCTTCATCATCATATTCTTCTTGCCACTCTGGAACATACTCATCTTCCTCATTTTCCTCTTTGCCCCCATCATCTGTATCAGGTGTGTCAGATCCTTCATAAAAAATCAGCCTGTGCAGAAACAAATTTAGTGTCATTTCATTTTTGGATTACAGTAGTCTTCTAAATTCCAATATTGAACCAAGCAAGACTTTCACCCAATATGCTTGAAGTAAACCAATAAGGATTTTCCTCATTAGAAATTTCTTGATTAGTTATCGGTAGTCCCTAAATCGTATTTTTGTGGACCCCAGAACCTCCCTGGACTTTGTTGTTAAAATTCACTAGTATTAATTTCTACTGATTTTTAGCAAGGGCTAGTGAACTATAGAATGGATAGGCTTACTGAATATAAAACCATTTTTAAAAGGTTTCCTAAAACTGGGGCAAACAGAAAGCAAGACATGCACTTTCCATTTACATGACGTGATGACACTGCACTGCCTTCAGCTACTCAAAAGTAATATAATTCATAAACATAAACGGACTGCCTGCCTCTACTTTAACTCCTAACATTCATAATCAATATACCAGATTTTCTAACAGAACACAACAGAATTCAACTCCATATTTGTTTTTACCAGTGTTATTTTAAGAGATGCAAGAAGTTACTGTTACTCTGACACTACCAAGAACTGGAGAAATGTTTATAATACATTACTCAAGGGGCAGCAAAAACATGGCTTCTTTTGTGACTCCCCAAAGCATCTTGTTCATTCCAAATCTATATAAATCAGATTTGACATTCAAATCTACCTGGCTTATTATGGAAAATATAAAGTTATTCTTTATGGAGAAGGAAATCATCTCCTGGCTGACAGAAAGTACTCTGGTATAGGTAATCTTCAACTTCCGACTGGTTGCTTAGCACAGTGGGTCCCCAACCTTTTGGGCACCAGGGACCTGTTCCGTGGCGAGGTTTCTCTGTGGACTGGAGGGGGGCGTGGTTTCGTGTGCTGCCTGCATCCCATGGATGGGGCTTTGTTTGTTTGCATGACCCGGTTTCTGATATGCTGTGGCCTGGTGCCGGTCCAACGACCAGGGGTTGGGAACCCCTGGCTTAGCGATCATTTAAAATTAAGCAGATATCCCTTGGAGTACTTTCAACCCAATTCTGAAGTTCCAACAATCGTCCGCTGGGTACGTGATCAGACATCGGCCCTTGGCAATTGGCTTGCATTTATGGCCATTTGCAGCATCCAACAGTCACATGTGCTTTGAGATAGTTTTGTTGAAAACTGATATTTACTTCAGGTGTTCAGCAAAGTCAGCCTATAGCAAACAATGGGTTGGCTTTATGACTGCATCATTTGCTTAACAATTGCTACCATAAAGGACATAAAATCAGATAAGACATGTAGATGGCCCACTTTAGGACTATCACAACTTATGACTGTAATGGTTAGACTCCACTATGGTCATAAATCAAGGACTACTTGTATGAAGACCATTGAAAAATATAATCTATCTAAATAGTTGCTGGCCTGCTTGAATTAGGCTCCTCTTAGCCAGACTGCTTCTCACTGGAAACCTGAAACCCAGCTTACTATTCACATATTCCCATAAGAAAACTTACTGTTTATAAGCAGAAGTGCCATTAAGTACATTGGATAATTTAATCCCCCTGTGTACGGAGCTTTGTCGAGTTTGGAATCCCACTCTGAAATCCTGCAACAAAATAAAGATCGAAAGGATATAGCAAGATGCTGACACCAGAGATCACTCTCCTAAAGAGAATGGAACCATTAAGAATCTAGATATAATGATCTTAGCACATTTCTTTTTGCTGCAATATTGAATTGGCAAAAATACATTTACTACCATATACGGTATATCCTGTCTAGGCAGGTATTACCTGAGTAGCATGATGCAGAATTGACAGGAGCCGTTCTTGGATCCTTCGAACCAACTCTAAACCGATATTAAAATGCTTTGCTTTGAGCAACCGAATGGAAGAGGCAAGATCTTGGCAGTGTAACAGCATCTCTTCTGAAAGAAAAAGCAGATCCATTTCCAAATTGTAGCACTTGTGAATGAATGGATCCAAGTGTAAAAACAACAGTGAAATAAACTGGTTATAAAATGAAATTAAGGACTTCCGGTTTTGTGCTGTAGCGCACGGCCGTGGGCTTGCAGAGCTCCATACTCCACGGCTAGTTTTGCCCTGCCAGGGGACCCAAAATGGATCAAAAGTCGCCCTGGAGAGGCAACGAAGAAAGAGGGTGCTCAGATGATCACAGAATGATGGCGGTCGATCTATTCAATCCAGGGGAAGCCCTCTAACCCGACAGGAAAAAGGCTAGGTGTACACCAGTGTCTAGCCCAAGCTACTTGCAGCCAAAGTCCAAGAGCACGAACTAGAACAGTGGTGAACAGCATGCTTGGAATTGGTGAGAGTATCAATCTTCTCTCTTCTATTTTGTAACTGATTCCTTGGAAAAGATCCCTAAAGTAAGAAATTCTCCGAAAGTGAAGGGAGGGGACTACACCCCCACTCTTCCATAGACGGAAGCGGCGAATTAACTTTTAAGGGGGAAAGAAATATATTGAAATAAAATTTATAATACTACAGTCTGGATAAATCTAGAAACTAAGAAAATTTACACCATAAAGGGTCCTGATGAAATTATATAAAAAATAATAAGAATTTTTTGTTTGAAAAAGCTGGAAAATAAACAACTACTGATGTCTAGTGGAGAATCAGAGTATAGAACATCAACAAGACTGATTCAGAAATTGACAAATCGCCCAGAAACAAAGAATAATCTGTTCCCTTGAACTTTAATAACTCTCAAGAAGACAGCTGGGAACAAAGAAAGAAAACATAATGAGCCAGCCATAAGATTAAGAAGTGTCTGCTCTGACTGTTGTTTAAATCCAAAATTGTTTACAGAAATAGAAAAACTTTGATTTTTGGTTAATCTCTCGGGGGGGGGGGATTTACAGGAAAGACTCAAGGTGGCTAAATATATTAGATTGCAATTCTGACTGGTTGATAACTGACCCCTGAATAGAAGAACTATTATAAAATACTGCTTTCACTGAGGCCTTGACAATTGGAAACACATTGGATTACAAAAACCATATATAAAGATAAGTACTATATAAGATTGGATTGTTTGGATTCTGGTTTGACAAGGCTAATCATAGAGACTATGGCACTGATGAAAAATTATATGGAGGGGGGAGAAAATATAGATATTGGATACTTATAAAAAAAAACTACAGGACACCACATCTAATATCTACTCCTGAAAGATCTAGCCTAGAAAATCAGAGACTTCCAGAAGCAATATTCCAAGACAAGACAAATACTTTCCAGGAGGAAATGTATGCAATGCTACAACAGATACAAATGACAATGACTTCAAACCACGAGATCAAAAACAACTCTGATGACATAAATGAGCACATCTAAACAGACAATTAAAAAACTCTCAGAAAATGATGATAAAGAATGAACAAACAAATCAGATAATAGAACACAAACTAGAAGAAAATGACTTAAACAGCGAAGCTACAAATGAAGAGAATTACAACTTAACATGAACAGGAAAAAATCTACAAGATTTTGCCATAACAATAAAAATGGAAAAGATACTTTATTTGTCAGGACGTCAAAATAAACCTGGGGACAAGAAAGAAGATTGAACAAAATGGACTATAGAACTGCCAAGAGAATCATTAGAGTTTGGGAGACAAAAAGTACATATCCTACGTAATTTGTCCTCTTCATTCCCAACAATACCCACAAAAATACAGGAACTTCCTAGCAAGTGAAATATATTAACTTGGAAAGCTACTTGGCAAAAGATGAAGGCCAGAGTTAGATTCAAAAGATTTGATTCGCCTTACCAGATGAAATACTACATGAGCAAACACCTGTTTGAATATGATTAAAAGAACAGATAATTTTGGATATAAAGGGACTCTATAGTAAGAGGGATAAGAGATATAAGTAGTATAGTATTTTTTACATTATATGAAATGTAAAAATATTGGGATGATATATGTAAATGAAAAGTTTGAAATTTAAAAGTAATTAAATTGAAGAGAACTAGGTCTGAGGAATGACCGAAATATTGAGGGGAAATTAAGCTTAAACAAGAATTTTTGAAAATAGGATATATAGTGACTTAACAAGATAACTTTTACAAATATAAAAGAAATATAAGCCGATCAAAAAAGATGTTATATGTAGATGTTATAAGATAGATAAGTAGTATAGTATCCTTATAACACATGAAATATGAAAATATTGGGATGATGTATGTAAATGGAAAGCTTGGATATTTAGATAATCAATATTGAGAAAATTATGACTGATAAAAATGGTTTGAATATTAAGAGGAAATTAAGCTTAAATAAGAATGATGAAAATAGGATGCATGATGAACTTGTAAGATGATTTTTATAAATACAATACAAGTTGATTAGAAATACTATCATATAAAACATTAATTAATAAAACATTAAACAAAACACAAGTTTTCTTGGCCACTACAATGAAAATACAGAAAAAAGTGTGGAAGAAATAACTGAGTCATAATAATTACTGTCTCAGCATATTGAAGAACTTGCAGGCAAGGGTGATCTATACTGGTAGCAATAAGGAAATACTGTTATGACAATTGATGCTTTCTATATTACAAATATTGCCAGTATTCAATGAACATGTCTCAAACAAATGACAGTTACTTGCATGTCAATAATGGCTTACCCAAAAGGATCTGTAAAGCATTAGTATGCAGCTCCAGATTATCAGACTGTTGTTCCATGATATCCATTTTTTCTGTGTCCTGGTTATAGTAGCTGTAGATGCAGGAATATGCCAGGACCTGAAACACATCATGTATCACAATGCATATAAATGATTCCAGTTAGAATCTCTCCAATGGGGGAATGGTTTCACTAGGAGCAGACCCCTCATTCCCACAACTCTGCTCCTCTCCTCTGATATTCCCTTAGAAGAGAATTAGAATCAAGTAATTGGAAGAAGCTTGTCACAGCATAGTACCACCTTCCTACTTAGAGCAAGAGAGAGAAAGAATATTTCATAGCTCAAATTTAAAGTATAGGTTCTTGGAGTTGGAGGGAAATAATGCTAGGGTAAATTTCCATGTTTTTGTATTATTTCTTTTATGGTCATAGTTATAAATCATCCATAGAATGACAAAGGCTTTGTAGCAAGAATCCAAAGAAAAACTAAGAATGAAAAAGCATTCTGGAGAGGGTTTTTTTTTCTGAAAGTCAGTATAGATTCTTCTAAGGTATCTTCCAAAGAAATGTCTATGGAGATTCTAAGTCATCCAGCTCATGTTTCTCCCAAAGGTGCTTTTTCAAGAGGCAACTAGACTTTCTTGTTTTTTTTTGAAGATGTTTTACTTCTCATCTAAGAAGCTTCTTCCCCATCATCCAGTCAGAGCTGAAGAAGCTTCTTGAATGAGAAGCAAAACGTTGCCAAAAAAAGCCAAGAATGTCCAGTTGCCTCTTAAAAAAGGACCTTTGGGACTTCCAAAGAAATGCATTTTCTGTATCATAAAAACAATGTTAAACATGACATTAAACACCAGTGCAGATATTTGCTCACTAAACACCTAGATTTCTTTGAGGATGCCAATTAGGATGTTGAAAAGAGAGTCCTCAATGGATTTTTCCAAAGGTTTGATACAGACTTTTACCAAAGGCTCCTGAGAAACCTTAACATCTAAACCATAAGAGGACAGATGTTGTAACAGTAACTGAATAGGAAATAGAGTAGGAATTAATGCCTTTAGAAGTGTACCTTTCTAGAAGTTTTACTCCAGGGACCAATCGTAATCCTGACGATGTAAAATTAAAAAACTAGTGGTCAACCAGAATCTTCATTCCTTATTCTTCCGGTTTACACTTCAAAGTGGTTTGACATAGGTCGTTATGTGATTTCTTACTTTAAGTTTCTCAGGGTGGATTTTAGATGGGTTGTGTGTCAATTGGCTTTAAAATGATAAAATGATACTTTGGCACCCAAAATTTTGAATGTCATACAGATATTAATGGGAACTAAGCAAGCAGTGATTGATTCCAAAACAGATCCTGGAATGTTTGTGGGCAGCTCAATGAAAATTTCAACCCAGGCAAATTCCAAGGTTGGAATTATTAGGAAGAGAACTGAAAACACAGCAGCTAATATAGTAGTGCCCTTATGTAAATCTACAGAAAAAAACACTTGGCGTCTTATGTAGAAGATGTGGTGTCATAGCATTTCTTTTTAAATCCTCACTGAAACGAACGGTAGGTAGGTAGGTAGGTAGGTAGGTAGGTAGGTAGGAAGGAAGGAAGGAAGGAAGGAAGGAAGGAAGGAAGGAAGGAAGGAAGGAAGGAAGGAAGGAAGGAAGGATGGATTTAGAAATTTGCAGAGAAATAATCTTGAAAAAATTAGGGAGAAAATTGTATCTCAAATTTAAGCCAATGGCTGAATTGTTTCAGAATAAATCAGGATGCATTCATGATTACTATGCTTTGAATGTAAATTTAACAAAATACTATTTAGGCTTTGAACAGAATGAAAGTGTCTACAAATGCCTTATTATTCTGCATTCTACTGAACTAAAATATCATGTTGCAATAACATTTTAGCCTCTTAATTTTACACTGTTCTCTCACTCCATTTTTTTTCAAATACTTTTATTTCCACTCTTTCATTTAAATGCTGATCATTCAATACAGTTCTATGCACATGCTGTGGACCTCCTTCTGTGTTACACTTTCTACATCCTTTGTGGGGCTATAAAAAGTATAATTATTTAAAATTATTTAAAACAAACAAAAAACAAACATAGCAACAAATGGAGCCTGGGCTTTGAAGAATACTTTTGCTGATTGCGGACCTACTGGGTTTGGCTCCGTAGCTCCGCGGGGGTCCTCGGCGGAGATGGGGAGCCTCCGGAGGGTCGGGGGTGCTCGGCGGCCTTGAGTTCGGTGAGAGAAGGCTGGCGAGCGGAGAAGGCTGGTAACGGGCCACGCGACCACCCGGCTGTGGCGGGCTGGAGCCACGGGCGGAGTCGTGGGTGGAGGCCCGGCTCGGAGAGATCTCGACGCGGCGGAAATTTGCGGCCTGGCGGCCCAACGGCCCAGCGACCTAGCAGCCCAGGGGGATGCAGCACAGCGGCACAACGGCCCGGATGGCACACCGGCACACCGGCACAGCGGCCCGGGCGGTACAGCGGCCCGGGTGAAGGACAAGGCCCAGTGGGAGACGCGACTCGGCGGGGAGTTAGCCCGGCGGCCTGGCGGTCCAGCCTGGTAGTCCAGGCGAAGGATGCGGCTTGGCGGCCTGGTCTAGCGGCCCGGGCGCGGCCCAAAGGAGGAGTTTGCCTAAGGAACGCGGCCTGGTGGAGGACCTAGGGCTTGGCGGTGAGTGCCAGACGAACGTGAATGCCTGGGCCCACGCCCCATGGAGGCTGAGGACCGGGGGAGGGCTGCTTTTGGGTTTAAGGCCCTCCAGTAGAAGATCTTGCGGCCGGCCTCTGTGGAGTTGGTGTGGGCCCGGCGTGGACTTGGAGGCTTGTGCGGTTGGGGCCTGGAGGCTTGTGCGGTTGGGGCCTGGCTGACTCTGACTTTGCAATTCCCCCCCCCTATGGGGGGTCAATACGAACAATAAACTGTTGCTGCTTTCTCGTTATCCATCTAAGCCCCTGACTAGGATTACCATCACGAGGACTTTCCCCCCTCCCCTACTCTGCTGCTGGACTTCCTGATGTGAACTGGACTGTATTCCAGGAAGGAACTGCTGGCCCTGCGCGATTCCCCCATCGCGCAGGCATGGCCTAATACGATCT